ACCGGGCATAAGTCGCCTTATTTACCGCTTTCGCCAGTTTTATTGTTACAAGTGGTTATATCGGGTTTTTAACAGAGCCATTAAATAATCGAAACTTGAGCAACAATACTAATTGCCTTGTAGATTTTGTTAACAAATTAACAAAATACGAATATGGATACATAGCGAGCACATAAACAAGAATCCTAGCAACGCGTCAAGTCTGTAAAACATTTGGCTATTATATCAAATCCTGTTTAAATTTTAAAAATAGAATTTTAAACAGTTTTCTTCAGATGTTTAGCTCAGTAGGAAGTAGAATTTAATTTATATTTCTACGTTGTATTTTTTATTGTATTTCTAATGGTTTCATTTAGCCTCTATTCTAAAACTTGCAAGTGACAAACATATGAAAAAGTACTTACGTTTACTCATGACCATTCTATAGGATGATATAACATATTGAATTTGGGGGCGGTGTTTAGTTTCTTGTGACAAAGATAATCGAAAGCCTGTCTAAGATGGCCTGAAATGGACACGTTTAGTTTCAAGAGAAGTGTTTTTCGCAGAAAAATTATTCCAGATAACTAGTACCATTTTAATACATCTGTACAAATTATTACCATTCAAGTTGGCAAAGCGTAAATAACAAACTATCAATCAATACATTGTGTCATTGTACGTTGGCAGTTTAATTGTGCGGTAAAGTTGTCTCGTTTTTTTTGGGTTTTTCACGTTCCCTCTTCTATATTTTTTCCTGAGTCCCGTCCGACGTATTGAATGCCCTGATTTTCAGATGAACCGAGATCTTTTCCTTCTGATTTCTCCCCTGTACGTAGCGTTGAGGTGAAGACCGGGTTCCCATTGACTGAAGCAACTTGTTAACCACGGTTTCATGTAAATTTGATCTGTTGTTCTCGAATCTGTTGAGAAAGCCATTCCAAACCCTCGTAAAGTCCTTTGCCTTTCAGCGCGCACGTTGCCTGAATAAACCAGCTTCTTCCCTTTAAACTGTGCAGCCCTAACTTCTCGCTCAGCTCGGCGGTAGACATGGCGTTTGGTAGATCTTGTTTATTTGCAAAGATCAAAAGAACAGCTTCCTGAAGTTCATCCTCGGCTAGAAGTCGAAACAACTCGTTTTTCGCTTCTGCAACGCGATTTCTATCGCTACTGTCCACAACGAAAATAAGTCCTTGGGTTTCTTGATAATAAAGCCGCCATAAAACACGGATTTTGTCCTGTCCGCCTATGTCCCATACAGTAAAACTGATATTTTTGTATTCGACCGTTTCGACGTTAAATCCTATAGTTGGAATAGTGGTGACGGGTTCCTCCAGTTTTAACTGGTATAGAATTGTCGTTTTTCCCGCCGCGTCTAAGCCGACCATCAAAATCCGCACCTCTTCTTTACCGAACAAGCGTTTGAACAATCTAGTTAGAGTATTCCCCATGATGTATTCTCTCGACTTCACTGCTGATCGGCCTACCTCACCACGCGTAAAGATCACGTCTATCAAAAAGTGTTCAGTAATTAATATTTCATTATGGACCTGTAAGTCTGTTGGAAGCACGCGTGCGCAAATAACGTACCTGCCTCTTTATTCGCCTTTTAATGAACCATTGTATATACGATTAGTGATGAAAGCAAGCTGAAATCTTTCGTCATTCATGGTAGTTTTGTGCTTCCTCACATTTTTTTGCCGAATTGTCGACACTGCCATTTGGAGAAGGGGCATTAAAGGAGAGGTGGTGGAGGAGGAGGATGATTAGGAGGAGGAGGTTGTTCTCGTAGCTGTCTCGTACCCAAGCCTTTCAGTTAGAGCGCGGCAAAACTTACTGCTGTGACTTGGTTGCTCAGTAATGCTTTTTTTTT